AGTTTCCGCAATAGTCTCTGCTAGCCTGCCACTTGGCTTTAGAGTTTTTTATTAATTCGTTAATTGATGACGCTATTCATAAATTCCTCAAAAATCGCTGCTAGTTTGCCTCTTTTTTCCTGGAACTTTACTATTTTTCCCTCCCTCAGTTGCAGAAATTTTTGAATTGCAGATTATTTTAAGCTTTTTAAGAAATATTTTTACGATTGCGGCAGCGTAATTTGCATAAATTCTCCAAAAATCACTGCTAGCCTGCCTTTACTCAACGTCTCGCTTTTTTGGCTATTGAATTTGCATAATTTCTTAAAAAATCACTGCTAATCGCTAGAATTGCCTAAGAAATTTTAGAGCATAGTATAAATTTTAAATTTCGCGCTTTTCCACTTCAATCCCCCTTTTTCTGCCCCACTCCAATCGTACAACTTTTTCCCCCTATCCGCAAATTGGCGATTCGATGCCCATCCCCCAATTTCCACCATCTGGCCAGGGTTACGGTAGCGGGTGGCAACTTTTGAGTGATGTTTTCCATCCGGGGAGGACCCACCACGGCGGCTGTAAAGTGGAGCGCGGCGGAACGGATCGTATTTTTGCGGGGGGTTTTTGCATAAGAGGATTAGTGGGCCAGGCACTTGGCCAAACATGGTTTTTTGGCGTGAAAAAGTGGCCAAATTTTTTTTAGGGGTTGGGGCGTGATTTTAGCTCGCAAAAAACTGAGTGGCACTTTTAAAGGGGCGGCGACATCGAAATCCAAGTAAAAATTGCCAGTAAGCATATTCACAGGCTCCCATTAGTGCCTTATTTTGGTACAAATTTAATTTTTGGCCTCTCCGAGATAGCCTAGTAGTTAGAGGGTTTGCCTACCAAGCTCACGACCCTGGTTCGACCCCTGCCGCGAAAATTTTTTGGCTTTTTGATCCCTTTGAAAGATCCTCGTTTAAGATAAAATAATTTTACCCCAGATGGACTTCGTTTTTACAGCCTTGGCCTAGTGGTTAGTGAGTATCCCTATCAATCTCGCGACCCTGGTTCGACTCCCTCCGCAGCCAGTTTTGGGCTTTTTGCCTCCCAAAACTCGCTGATCAATCCCCTCATTCCCAGGAGGTGTTTCTAGCCCCAGAATCGCGAATATCGATTCACGCTCGCCGATCATTTATGACTTGTTGGGGGTATGGGGGGTGGCTGAAGCCCTATCGGTCTGTGGGCCAGTTTATGGGACACTTTATTACGCGTATTCCCCCTTCCTATCAGCCACCCAGGGTTCGGCTTCACTAACATAGGTGGGAATTATTGGAGGGCTCATTAAAGGGATCGCGAAGGCTTGAAGTCTATTAATGCGCTGTCGGTGACGTACAGACAACGTACAGAAAATTACCGAAAACTGGGTTGTATACCTTAAATATGCAGTGCTAGCCTTCCCCAGCGATCACCGCTAGCTCGCCTAGCTTGCTTGTAGATTGGCTCGTAAGCCTATTCCAAGCCTAAGCCTATGACTGTGCCTAAGCTTAATCCTAAGCCTAAGCCCAAGTCCAGGCCTTAGCCTAAGCCAAACCTACCCTGAATCTGAACATAAGCCTGAAAGCCTAAGTTAAGCGGGGCCGAGCCCAAGCCTAATTCAAGCCTAAGTAAGCCTAAGCCTAAGCCTAAGCTTCAGCCTAAATTTAAGTATAGTGTAAGCCTAAGCCTAAGCCAAGCCTGTGCCAAGCCTAAGCTTAAAACTAAGCCTAAGCCTAAGTCAAGCCAAATGCTAAACCTAAGCCAAAAGCCCACCCCGGCGACTCACACCCAATCCATATGGTGCATGCCAACAAGTGCCCCCGGGGGCATGAAGGGATGGAGAAATAGACAGAGCGAGACAGAGCGAGGGAGAACGAGTGGACACTAATCTATTAGCCGGATCGGAGAGAGAGAGAGAAGCTGCAGAAAGAAAGAAATCGAGCAGCTTGTGCGGGTGTGTGTGTGTGGGGAGGGGGAGGCTGTGACTTCTATAAATCACTCGATCTGCGTGCGCGCCCAGCTCTCACAGCCACACACAACAGACCCCTCCTGCTCTGCCTTGCCCCTTTTCTAACGCCTCCCTTCTTGTACTCGCGATACAGGGGATCGTTTGATGGAGATTGTAAAAAAAACGCGGAAACTTTGATTTTAAAGGGACGTGGAAGGCAAAATCTATAGCGCCGAATTTCGAATGTCTCGAAATTCAAAAATGTAAAACAAGAAAATTCCCTGTTTCTGCTCGAAAACCAAAAAATTGGCAAACTAGCAGATATCTTTTAGGAATCCTAGATGCTTTTGGGAATTCTGGTAGAGGTCTTATTTCCGGCTGCTACCTAATAAAAATGCTAATTAGGCTCCTGCCGAATTCTCAGACTCTGGCATTTTGAAATTATGGGCCTGCTGCTCGTTTCGAGGGGAGCTTGACGGGCTGCACAGCCTAAGCCGAAGCCAAGCCTAAGCTAAGCCTAAGCCAAGACTAATCCGAACCCTAAGCCTAAGCCGAAGCCAAGCCTTAGCCTAGTCTTAAGCCAAACCTCAGACCCAAGCCTAAGTCGCGTCAAAACTGAAGCTAGGCCTGGGGTGATAAGGCTCAGCTTAGGTAAAGCCAAAACCAACCCGAGGCCAAACCTAAACCAAGCCTAAGCCGACCCCAGCACCTTCCCGGTCCCTTCAATTTTAACAATAAGGTGTCACCAGGTCAATCCACACCCCTCTCGTCGTAATGGGTGATAGTTGGGGGATTTGAGACGCGAACGAGTGTCTGTCTGTCTGTCTGTCGGTCGTGTGTATCTGTGTGGTGGGGTGCGCCTCACATTCTGCTGATTTACGGGCGCACACGACGCCCACCACCAACACCCCCAAAAGATATGGCTTTGACCACCAGGAGGGGGATGATGAGTGATGGCCAGGGAGGAGGAGGAGGAAGAGCTCGAGCTTCGTCTATCATACAAAATCAGTGGTGGATTCGATAAAAAATAAGCTGATTGGCTTGTGGGTAAATGGTAGTGTGCTAGGGTGTCACTGGTCATGCTCAGTGCGGAAGATCACTTTTGGGCAGAATAAGCCCGATATGTCTCTCTCACTCGCCCTCTCTCGCTCTCTTTCTCACCCTCTCTCTCCTTCTCTCTCACTCTCTCCATCTCTCCCTCTCTCTATCTCTCTGTATGTCTCTCTCACTCACTCGCTCTCTCTCTCCCTCGCTCTCTCTCCCTACCTCTTTCTCTCTCTCTATCTCTCTGTATGTCTCTCTCACTCACTCGCTCTCTCTCGTCTCCCGTAGAAAAAGGTTAGGGCGCAGAGATTTTATCGGAAATCAGGCTAAGAAACCCGATATTCTTAAATGATCTCTGCTAGCTTGCCCAGTAATTTTAGGCGTAAGACTTCATGGCTAATTGGCTAAGCTCTCGCCTCCCGCCCACACGATCCTGGTTTAATCCCGCCCGACGACAAATTTTTGCTTTTTGCTTTTCCCATTAAACAACCCTATTTATGCAAATTTCCACCCACATTGGCCACCCCAATCAAATCGATAATTGGGCCCAATCCGAGGGGGGTTGCGATGTGCGGCCGGGAAGTGGGGGCCATATTTCAAGGGGGTGGGGCCCCAAGGAGAAGGGGCCAAAGCAGGGCCAAGAGGGCCCCCCAGATCAGCCCCGCGTCCAGGACGGCAGGCTACGATATATGGCCCCCAGAAGGGACACAAGCCACCCACTGGCCCTTCTGCTCGCTGGGGCCACCGGATAATTGGGCCACCCCACACTGGGCCCTTTGGGACCCCCAAAAAATATTGGCACTTGTTGGAGACGTTCGGGCGAGCTAGCAGAGATTCTTTGAGAGGATGAGCACACTAATAGGCATAAAAATAGCCGGGGAGAGCTAGCAAAGAGTATTCAGGATCGGAGAGCGTATAACAGGAAACATTTCCGAGTCTGCGGATGCATTAATAGACAGAGCAAGCGAGCAGAAATCATCGAAGAATCTGAAATTTTCGCGTCGTAATCGAATGCCTACCGTATCCCCTAGCCTCCATGCGGTAGAGCGAAATTACCCGGGAGCCCGCACACCCCATTTTACGACCCGTTAATGGGGTGTCTAGAGGGGAGGCGAATGGCATACCGTAGCCCTTAAGAAGTAGTAATTCGGGGAATTTAGACCAAAAAAATTTTTGTCTTAGAGAGAAGAGAGAGAGAGAGAGAGAGAGAGAGAGAGAGAGAGAGAGAGAGAGAAAAGATAGAGCAAGAAACAGAGAGAAAGAGGGAGAGAGCGAGAGAGCGAGATAGAGCAAGAGAGAGAAAGAGAGTGAGACAGCGATAGAGAGAGAGAGAGCGAGAGCGCGATAGAAAGGGAGCGAGAGAGCTATAGAGAGAGAGTGCGTGAGAGGGAGAGAGGGGATTTTGACCTTTTCTACCTTTCTAACCCCTTTAAAACTCAAATTCTCACCCATCTGCCCGACAAACCTTTCCCAAATGTTGCTCTTGCCCTATCCATCACCCAGAAATGTTGATGCTCATCAGGCATTTAGGAGCATGAAGGGAGGCAAGGCAGGGCCATGTGCGTGAGTGGTGTCTGTCTCTCCGTCTTCAGCAGCTCTGTCTGTCTGTCTGCCTATCCGTCGTCCTCGAGAAGACAAAAGACCGTGCGGGGCGCAGCTGGATGAGTCGCCCGGCGGGTGCCAGCCTCCTGACTTTTGCCTGACCCTGAAAAACCCCGAAATTTGGGTTTTTTCGAGGTGTTGCGAGGCGGGGGTTGTGAAATTGGATATTTAACAATTAAATTAAATTAAAAATAAATCAATTAATAAGAAATTAATTAAAGGGGGTAGACTCAACAATTCCGAAAAACGCTTAAAAACCGATTCTTGTTCATCTACTTTTTTCAGTTTCCCCAACTTGCTGGGCGACGAGAACGCGAAGACGGCCGGGGATCGCGTGCGCAGCTTCGACGCTCTGATAAAGATCAAGTGCCATGCCGATCTCGAGTTTTTACTGTGCAGCCTCCACTTTCCGATGTGTAACGATAAGGTGAGGAAATAACCTAAGTCTGCCTAAGCTCAAACCTAAGGCAAAGCGTAAGCGAAGCCCCGGCTTAGTCCGAACCTAATCCTAAGCCAAAGCCAAGCCTAAGCTTGATCGGAGCCTAGGCTAAGCCTAAACTTAAGCCTAACAATCCTAAGCCTAGGCCTAAACCAAGCCGAAGCCAAGCTTACGCCTCAGCCTAAATCTATGCCTAAGCGTAGCCTAAGCGAAGCCTAACAAAGTGAAGCGAAGTGAAGCCTAAGGCAAGCTTAAGCCAAGCCTAAGCTAAGCGCCTAAGCCAAGCCCAAGCCAAGCCTGAGCCTAAGCCTAAACTACGCTACCCCAACGCACTAATGACCGTCCCTTTCAGACAGCCCAACTAATCGGACCATGCCGCCCAGTATGCGAAGCCGTTCGTGGCAGCTGCCTCCAATACCTCCGCGATTTCGGCTTCGACTGGCCCCCAAATATGAACTGCTCGCTGTTGCCGAAAGGTTGGTAAATGATCACCACTCCGACAACGTTTTATCTTCTAGTTAACAACGCGGAAACGATGTGCATGCCGGGGCCGGGCACCCAATGGGCATCTACCGAACCCCCGGAGGAGGAGACCCAGAAACCGGTAGGCTTTCTGCTATGCTGCAATTCTTTTTGCAGACCCAGCCCGTTCCCCTGACCATCCCCGGCTCGTCGAACGAATGCTCCCCCGGCCATTTCTACTTCAACCGCACCGGCGTCTGCGTGCCGCTCTGCAACCTCAACCACGGTCTCGCCCAGGTCAGCTGACTTACAACTAGTTTAAAATCTACTTTTATAGACGGATCGCCACTCGGCAACGACTTACCTGGCGGCGTTGTGCGGCTTGTCGGTGTTGTTCACGTTCTCATCGATCCTGTTCTTCCTCTTCCGCCCGCACGTCTTGCCCACGTTCCCGGAGAAGAGGTAGATTACCAAAGATTTGGGTTCAAGGGACGCGAATGCTAGGCGTAATCTACCTTCACCATGAAAATTTTTCAGCCTCCTCTGGAGCGCCACTGCCTTCATGTTCTCGTCGATCATCTACGTGTTCAGCATGTTGTACAGGGAGGAGGTGAGATTAGGGGAAAGGGGAGGCTAGCAGAAATTATTTGATAGATAGAAAACTTTAGATCTTAATGGAATTAATGATTTTCTTCAGGTATCTTGTACGCTCTACGCCGGTCAGGTGCTGTCCGTCGTCTCGGCGTTGCCCCACGTACCGTGTACGGCCGTGGCGGCTGCGTTGTTTTACCTAGGTAAGGGAATCTTTTCTTTATCTGAGTCTCTCTCCCCCTCTCCTCTCTCTCTCTCTCTCGCTCCCTCGCTCTATCTCTCTCCCTCTCTCGCGTTGTCGCGCTCTCTCTCTCGCTTCCTCTCCCTCTCTCTCTCTCTCACTCTCTCTCTCTCCCTTGCGCTCTCTATGTCTCTCTTTTCAGGAACAGCCGGTCGTCTCTGGTGGTTCGTGATGTGCCTCGCCTGGAAAGAACACACCCTCCAGACTGCCAGTATTGTAAGTTGCACCCAATCTACCGTAACCCCACCCCTTCAGGATAAATACCGTCGTCAAGTGGTCCTCGTCACGTGGGCCCTCCCTTTAGCCGTGGTCATGTTGGCCCTAATGGCCCGAAGTATCCAAGCGGATCCGCTGGCCGGGGTTTGCCTCGTCGGGGCGGCTAGCCAGGTGGGTTACGGTCTCTAAAAGGGAAGCTCACATAAGATCGCGAGAGTTTTATAGAAGGGAAAGCTAACAGGGATACTCTAAGAGTTTGAGAAGTTGAAAATAGAGATATTTTCAGGTCCTGGAGGGAGTCTTTCCGGTTTTCCGGGAATGCGTCCTGTTCCTGGTGGTCTTCGTTCCACTTTGTGCCGGTTGCTGCTCCTTGGTGAGTATCTTTAGCTCCTTAATGTTGAGCCGAAGCCTAAATGCTAAATAAATATTCTTTTTCAGGTCGGATCTGCCACTCCGGCTCCACATTCTAATGCTCAGCCGCAGCCATCGCATCTTGGGCTTTTTGGGTGCATCTATTTGGTTGCGGCGTTTTTCTATGTGTAAATTTTTCTTTCTCTCTCACTCTCTCCCCCTTTCTCGCTCTCTCTCTATTAGTCCTCTTTCAGTTTCGCCTTCCTCCACGACATCCTCCAACCAGCCATGGGTTGGACCCGATCGTGGAATGTCGTTTCCGCCATTAAGGTACGGTAGCCGTAGCAGTAAATCTCAAAAAAAAATGTTTAAGCTCCTCCTCGACCCGTTCCTCGGCGCCGTGGCCGGTCTGTGCTGCCTCGTACTGATCATCTCCAACCAGTACCGCGCCAACAAGTCGGTTTTCGAAATCCGCTTTTTCTGGCACCATCCCTTTAAAGCGAGTTCCGAGCCTCAAAAAAAGTTCTTATTTAATTTTAGTCATTGTAGCCTATTATTACCGTATGAAAATACCGTATTCCAGGGCCCCATCCGGCTACAAGCACGGCTACCAACCGGCCCTGCTCCCACAATGCTTGCCCCCGAATCGGCCTCAACCGGAAGTGCCGAGGCCGGTGTCTTCTAACTACACTTCCACCTACGCCGCCACCCCTCGATTTGCTTGTTAATACGCTTAAGCCAGATCTAAGCCCAAGCTCAAGCTCAAGCCTAAGCCTAAGGCCAGGCCTAAACGTAAGCTTAGGCCTATGTCTGAGCCTAAGCCTAAGCCTAAGCCCAAGCTTAAGCCAAGGTTAAGCCCAAGCCAACGCCGAAGCCTAAGCCTAAGCTAGTCCAGCCCGAAAAAACAGTGTCCGAATTTGAATATTCTTTGTCAAATATTGATTGATCTCGTGCCTATTCGCCTTCGAATTTTGTGTATTTCCCTGTGTCCAAGTTTTCAGCAATATTTTGTGCAACTTACTACCGTAAATTTTGCCTTCCAGGCTCCTTTAAACCCATTTTTTGTTATTTTTATAACAACAACAGCTCGGCTACAAACATGGTGCTTTATGTCGATGTGTACAGTGAACGGAATAAAGCTTCTCAACCCAATTTTAGCATGGCGAATTTCGCGTTAAAGGAACAAACTATCAGAGATTCTTGGGGGAAACAAGGCAAGCTAGCAAAGACCATTGTGGAGGAGTGAGCTAGTACGAGAGAAAGAGAGAGACAGCGATAGAGAGAGAGCGAGAGAGAGAGAACGTGAGAGAGAGAGAGAGAGAGAGAGAGATAGAGAGAGAACGAGAGAGCGTGTGTGGGTGAGAGTGCGAGAGAGTGAGCGAATGAGAGACATAGAAGGAACGAGAGAGACATAGCGAGAGATAGACAATGAGAGAGAGAGTAACAGGAAAAATATTCGATATTTTTGGTTTTACCTGGAGCTTTTCTTTCTATATTCGCTCGCTCTGCGGCCAAAAAGCTTGGCGTCGACGTGGCCCACTTACGGAAGAGATAAATGGGGCTCAGAATGGGCGGAGTGCGGCGTAGTTGGGCCGCATATTTATGCCTTTGCCTTTTTCGGGGTGTTTTTGCGTACAAACTCTACCTTCCACGACTCGTAAGCGGCTTGTAAAGTTGCCACTAAGTGTGGGAAATGCTAAAAGCCCCTAAGCTTAAGCCTAACTTAAGCCTAAGCCAAAGCCTACGCCGAAACCCAAGCCCAAACCTAAGCCTAAGCGTACGCATAAGCCTGAGCCTGAGCCTGAGCCTTGATTTTCCCATCCGATCATACACCGATCCGATGGAGTTGGCAGTGTGCCCGGCCCGGATCGCCGTGTTTATTTGCGAATTGTGTGTGTGAAGCGGCGGTGCCGTCTTATCTTTTGCTTCCCACCCGCACATTTCGAAGGATCAATATAGTAGATCGAGTCCCGGCAGTCTCTCTCTCCTTATACTCCTATTTACACCTGGGATCAACAGGCTTTAGCTATCTGATTAGCGAAAATTTTTTGCACCTCTAACTCTCTGTCTCTCTCGCTCTCTCGCTCTCTCATTCTCGCTCTCATTCTCTCCCTCTCTTAACTCTCACTCTCTCCATCTATCGCTTTCTATATCCTTGAAATACACAGATTTTTGGCTCTTTTTGGATTACTCATCTCCTCGCCAGCCCCCACATGGTCTAGATGACTCAAGCGTTACTATCTCCCGTTTGCCCCAATTTTTAGCGCATGACTAATACGACTTTTTCAACGAGCTAATTTCTGTTTGATAGAGGAACAAATTTTGAACCAAAGACAGCTCTTAAAAAATTGCAAAATTGCAACAAAATTGTAATTGCAAAAATCCATTTTTCATTTTTTTTTGAAAATACCGTGACCACTAACGCTTCTTTACCCATAACTTGTATACTAATTCTGGGATCTTTCTGATAAGACGCTTGTCCTGTCGAAATTCCATAGATCCAGCCGTCCCAGTCCCTTTAAAAGCACAACCAAGCCTCCTGGGGAAGGCCTGCCTATTTCTATGTTGCCTGTCTTGTTGATGATGACGGGGCTGAGTGGACACGGAGCCATCATAGAGTGTCCGTGTCCGCTGGAGGGTCCGCGCTATCATTATCTGCCCTCCACCCTCGTCTTTCCGCTTCCATCCACATTACACCCCCCCGCGCATCCGGATCCGGACGATCTCAATTGGGAATTTTCAGAAGATCTTTGCTTCGTCCAGCTTCCCTGATTAGTTCTCTAAATTTTAAATTATCTTTCCTAGATGCTCTCTGCTAGCTTGCCGAAATCCTTTGAGGGTTCCGGAATTTCCAAAACGCCCTGAATTCGGAGGTAATTTCCTGCAAATGTCCCTCTCTCTCGCCCGCTCTCTCTGAATTCCGACCATCTCGCCGAAAACCATCCCTCTCACTCTCTCACCCTCTCTCAATTTTTGCTCCTGCGCAAAATTAGCCTTCTAAACCCTCATACCGCAAATATCTCTGCTCGTCTGCCCGAACTGTAGCTTTTTTTCCTTTTTTATTGGTGTATTCTTTTTTTCACAAAAGCCCCTGCTAGCTCGCCCTAAATAATCGTCAATTGCCTTCAATTCCTCAAAAATCTCCGCTGGCTCGCCTAGAAAACAGATTTTCGGACATTTCTTGTCTGAAAATTTCCTGAAAAATCTTTGCTAGCCTGCCCTTTCGCTCATTCCTAGTGCCACAAAATTTCCGCTCAAATTCCCAAGAAATCTTTGCTAGTTTCCCCTTTGTCGCGGACCTTGGGCTAGGCTTTTTAAAAATTTCTGAATGGTTTCTGCTGGCTGCCTTTATCTTCCAAATCTTTCCAAATTAACAAAGAATTCTAGAGCTTTTTATTTTCGATTTTCCGCATTCCCCAACCGACCGGAAGAATGCGTAAAAAATGGAAAACCCGGGCGGCGCCAAAATGGGGGTGGCGAGGTAACCCGAGTCGACCCTCCGGGCCTCTATTCTTCCCCCCACCACCGAATTTGCATGGGGAGTGCAGCGGAGCGGCGCTGGTGCGCTCTGTTTCTTTGGCAAATAGCCGACCCCTCTGGGTCCCCGACTTTCCCCGCAAAACATACAAACATACAAACAACACACAGATAGACAGACAGAAAGCGCCCCCCCCCCCACCCTCGCCTTTCCGTGCATGGACCGGGGTGATTCATGGGATTTTAGTTTTAGAATTTCGGTGTTTTTGAAGCAGTAAATGTCTTTTTTGTGTATTTTATTATTTTATTTATTGCTATCTGTATTTCGAAACCCATTTTGTCGAAAATGACTTTGTGCCAGTTTTATTTTGTCGAAAGTTCATTTTGTATTTGTCAAAATATTTTTTGCGTCATAATTTATTTTGTCGATATTTCCATTTTTCGAAATTTTAGTTTCTCGAAGTTCCTTTATCGAAATTTCAGTTGTCGAAATTTTTCGTTTGTCGAAATAGTTTAGCGAAATTTACTTACATTGGAATTTGGGTTTTCTAAATGTTTTCTACATGCATTTTCGACAAAATAAAATCTCGATAAACATACATTTCCACAAATTACGCCTGGTTGAAATTCCGAAACTGTACGCACTAAAAAATTCCGAAATTTTAAATTAGGAAAAAGAAGATTTCGACATGTTGAAATGCCGACAAAGAAGTTTTCGACAGAATGAGTTTTGACACGCCATTTTTTGACTTCAGCGTAGTTTTAGAGGCTCTAAAGGGGCCTGCAAGGCATAATCGTGAGGAATCCATAGTCTTCCCTTGTAGGTCCCTTGAATTCGGATATCTTTTCGAGCTTTAAAGTTAGTAACTCACTTCGGAAGCTACATATTTTGGCCTATTTGCATCCCAACATTCCACTGATCAATTCTCGATTCAAGAAAATCGCGCGTTTCGAAATTCCGACAGTTTTGTCCTAAATAATGCCGAATTCGAGCTATAGAAATTGCCATATTGTTTTGTCGGGACGGATCGTCGCGGAATGGTTTTGAAACGGCCCCCCCGCTAGCGGACCGGGCTTTTCTGTTTGTCCGCGTTTCCATCCCCCCTCCGGTTCCCCGGTTTCGACCATCGATTATCGGGGCAGGACCGGCCCGGAATTCCGCGTCTGTACGCTTGACATGGCTAGAATACATGCCCTTGCTATTTTTTGAATGGAAATTATATCTCCATTAGGCACGAGATTTGCCTTCAATGGTCCTTTAAACATGAAAAATTTTCCGACATTGAATTCATATTTATCCATTTCTGTTTTTTCTTTTTTTTGCAAAAAATCGGTTTGAGAAGCCTGGAAACGGGCCATACTTCAGCGTTCCTTTAAATGGGAAATAAGCGTCTCTAGTCCTCCTTTTCTCTAGCTCTTTCGCGCTTTTTCTCTCTCCCTCTCTCTCTCTCTCTCTCTCTCCTCTCTCTCTCTCTCTCTCTCTCTCTCTCCCTCTCCTCTCTCTCTCTCTCTCTCTCTCTCTCTCTCTAGTGCTCTTTTTCTCTCTCTCTCTCTCTTGCTCTCTCGTTTTAAGACAATTTTTACGAGCCGGAACCTTGATTGCTTACGCTTATGCTCAAGCAGAAAGCGATACAATTTCCGTTTTCCAATTTACAATCTTGATTTTTAATAGTTCTTTTTGTTCTTAAATAATTTCTAATTACACTAGATTTTTTGGGAAAATTTACACTTCCAGACCATAGCCAAATCGGCGGAATTGGAACGGCGCTCTCGCCACCACGGCGGCAGCCGGAATGAGAAGTCCCGGCGATCTAGTGGCTCCGGGCACATGGTAGGAATTTGACTTCACTAGACCTATAGAAACCTACGCCTAAACCAAAGCCCAAGCCTAATTCTAAGCCTAATTCCAAGCCTAGGCCTAACCTAAGCCAAATTGCAGGTAATCAACCTCCGCACCACAATCACAGCCCACGGCCCCCATAATGGCCTCATCGTCCACTCGGCCATCCAGGGAGATGCTCCCAGCCGAAAATCATCGCGTAAGCCATTCAATTTAACTAAAATAAGTACTTCTAAAGAAAAATCCGAATTTCTTGAACTTAGTCCGAAAATTTGCATGTTTTTCTTTGCGCTATGGCGTGGTTTCGCCGTGCTTTAATCTCTCTAGCCGTTTCCGACGTTCACGCATCGAGGAAATGCCCATTTTCTGACTTTGCTTAACCATTAACGCGTTTTTAACCGGATTTTGAGGTTTTTTCTGTTGCCTTACCAGTTCCTTCAAAAAAAACCTTGTTTTGGCCAGCTAGCAGAGGTGATTTAGAAAGTCGCAATTGGCAGAGATCCATAGGGCGGCGGGACAAACCTGCGAGGACAATGCGAGAATTGGCAATCTAGCAGAGATCATTTGAGAAATGGGGCAAGAGAGCAGAGGCCATTTAGAAGGAATTTTTCTCAACTCGACTCGGAGAGAGAGACGGAGGATGAGGGAGAGCGAGCGAGCCTGAGAGATAGAGCGAGAGACAGCTAGCGATAGAGAGAAAGGAGTAGGAAAAAGCGCGAACGAGAGAGATAAAAACGGAGCGAGAGAGAGCGAGAGAGAGCGCGAGAGTGAAAGAGAGAGCGAGAGAGAGTGCGAGAGAGGGAGAAAGCCTGTTAAAGGATGAGAAACATTACCCTTCTCAAAATTCTGATGCCGATCCTAGTTTCAGCAACCCCCAAAATACACAAAAAGCGGAAAACAACATCGTTCCCAACCCGCCGTTCTATTTTCCCAGTTTCGCCCTGGTGTTCAATTTCAATAGGAAGCCCCCAAAGAATAGCAGCCCCTTTTTCAGCCATTATATGCCCCCTTTGCGCTAGCTGCTTGACACATCCCACCCATTGGCAGCCATCTATTTGTTTTATCTGCTTGTTCTACTAGCTCTCACCCCGTGGCAGACTCCATTCCCCTCAGAAGAGCCCTAGGATCGTGTTTCACGCGACTTGAGATATTCTACTCACTCTCTCGCCCCCCTCTGTCTCTCTCGCTCTATCGCCAGCCGGGGCTCTGAAATATATGCCGGGTGCCGGATATGCGGTAGGCATCCGGTTGGTCCTGGAGGACACAGTGGGCACACCTGAAATGGCAATGGCTAGACGCCAGTTTGACTATTCGGGATTTTGCGAGATTCCGTTGAGGGAGGAGTATTCGCCTTTAGGTAAGTTATGATAGGGATCTATCTCTCTCACTCTCGCTCTCTCTCTCTCGCTTTCTCTTTGATTATTTCCCAAGTGATTCTCTGCGAGCCTGCCCTCTTCCAAATGGTCACTGCTAGTTTTCCTAAATTCCGTCAAGATCTCTGCCAGCTTGCCTTTTTGCTAAATGATTTCTGCTAGACTATCACTTCCCAAATCATTTCTGCTAAGTTACCCAGTCCTAAATGGTCTCTGCCAGCTTGCTATAATTCCTTAACTCAAACTAACTTAACTTAACTAACTAACTTAACTTAAGGGTCTCTGCCAGCCCTGCTAGCTAGCCCATCCCCAATGATCTTTGCTCGATTTTCCTTTCCTAGAAGGTTTTTCCTAGCTTGCCTTTTGCCAAAAGGGTTTTTTCTGCTAATTTGCATTTCCCCTCAGTGATCTCTGCTAGCTTGCTTCGCTTTCAATTTCTTAAGGGTTTCTGCTAGCTGGAGCGATCTCTGATAACTCGCCCCGATCCCCAAAAAACTCTGCCAGCTCGCCCGCTTCCTAAATGACCTCTGCTAGCCTACCCTGAGACCCCAGAGTTTTCTGAGGTCGAGTCGAGCCACAAGGATCCCTGCAAGTTTGCCTCCCTTGATTGAGCCGCTAAAAAGGTTTCCAAAAAGCCATGCAAGCCAGCCCAATGTAAAAACTAGACTAATTTTTAATTTCTAACAATTTGCCGTGTTTTCTAGGGTCTCAACAATCGATGGTAAACACATCTGGATGGCCATCCACTTCCGGCCCATATCCACTAACCTATCCATCAACTCTTGCCATCGACTCGAGGCCGCATAGCGCGCTCTCGTATCGACCAGTAGCGCGAGGTATCCTTTTATTAAAACCCGACCAAAGCGAGGTTATTGTTGTTTGGCACTTACTGTATCATCGGTAACATCGTATTACGGTTTAAAACTAGGTTTTCAGACTCCCGGCACACGTCGGTCTCTCCAATGCGGCCGCCTTCCCCGGAAATGCGCTTCGATGGACGGGACAGTCCACCCGATGATATGTTCCCACCTGATAAGGTGACGCTCAACGTCTTCCAAACGGTGAGCAAGAGCTCGGGCTCTGGCTTAGACCTAGCATAGGCTTAACTTAGGTCTAGCATAGGCTTAACTTAGACCCCCAACCCACGTGATTCTCTTCAGGGCCCCACCGAAGTACGCCGAATCGAGCCTTCGCCCAACTATCCGCTTCAACGGGGCCACAGCCGCGGGCAGATACAGGTCAATTTTGTCGTGCATTAACGACACCTTTTTCCTGGTATTGAGGTAGTACGGCAATAGCGTTTTGTTCAAATTACGGTGCTGCTACTAAAATTCAACTTTTAGATCCCAGACTCGCAAGCCCAACGGATATCCAGAGGTGGCGAGGGTGTGCTGAATGATCAGATCACCACAACAACTACTGTAGAGGTAGGTCATGCTCAAAAGCTCGTGCTCCAGTCAGGATCGGAGCGCGCTGCAGCTTTTGAACAGGCTCTAGCTCTGTCTTATGTCGCGCGTGGTGCTCAATCTGGTGAGACGCTCATGCTAAAACTGTTGCTCAAGCTCCCCTCATACTCCGGCAGTTAAAACCCACCCTCCTCTTTTTCCAGGTCTTCCGCACCCCAATCGACAATGACCGCCCGGAGCGTATCGTACTCCCCCCACCACCTGGCATTGACGATCGTGCTCACCTCGCTCGGGCTACTGGGGCTCCATATGAGAGGTGGACCACTGCAAGGTTAATTTTAAATCATATCATCCCACTACCACGTGATCATATTTTTTGTTTTCAAGCGTCACCAACAAGTTCAGAACCGCCACCATGATCAACGACGTGCCGGAAGTGATGGAACGGCCCCGGGTTCAGTGGAGCCCAGTGTTGGAGGAGCCGTATCGAGCATCACCTGTTCCTAGGTTGGCGTTCGTCCCTTTTCTCGTCTCTCTCTCTCTCCCTCTCTCTCTATCTCTCTTGCCCTCTCGCTCTTTTTCTCTAACTTTCAAACGTTTTGGCAAGTCAAGAATTTCTAGATCGCCTCTACCCGCCTATCCCAGCCAGGCCGTCGTGCCCGTCCTCAACACGTTCGACGAGAGGTTGGTTATCATCAAGGTCTTGCTCACTCTCTCGTTCTCTCTCTCTCTCTCTCTCTCCCTCTCAGTCTCTGTCTCTGTCTAGCAAGTTGTTATAGAAACTCGCTCGCCGCCTACGAGCGCACAGACACGATTAGGTATCGGGTGTCGGGTGGTGGTAGTACAATTATAATTTAAGAAGAGCTAAAAACACTAAAAAAATTTATCTGGGAATTTCAGATGGGAACCTAGTCGATCGCCAATACCAGAGGCGCGGTATCGAGGTCGGACTATACCAATTACGGTAGAGAGGGTGCCGATGGAGAGGTGAGAGAGAGAGCGCGAGAGAGCGAGATAAATAGAGAAAGAGAGAGAGAGACAGAGAAACAGCGATTTCTAAAATCCACTCTCCAGCCACATCCGAGGCCCACTCCAAGTAGACACCTCCGATTCTGGGGACTACATGGCTCCCAGACGTTCCGAGGAGCGTAGAGGACGCCTTGTCGAGGTAAAAAACCTCGACTACGGTGATTGGGACAATTTTTAGGTAAAGAGACGTGAGGAAACCACCACAACCTCTGAACGCAGAGCGAGAAGCGGACATCGGCCCCGGCATCGCAGATCTCATCAAGAATTGGTATGTTTTAGAGCTTTGCAGCTAGATGAGTGGGCAGACTAGCAGGGATATTTGGGAATAAGCCAAATAATACCGACGGCTAAAGACCTTTGGCCGGCTAGCCGAGGTTCTTTGGGGAAATTACATAACGGATGGGGCAAGCCAACAGAGACCTTTTAGGAAAAATTGGTCCCGAAAAACTAGCAGAGATCATTTGGGAAAACTAGCGAGCAAGGATTTTTTAGGCAAATAGTTGTCCCTGGCAAGCTAGCAGTGATTATTTGAGACGAAACGTTAGCCCAGGCGAGCGAGCAGAGATCTCCAGGCAAGCTAGCAGAAAGCTTTTGTGGATGACTTTTTGGTCTAAAGGCAATCTAGCAGAGAATATTACGGACTATTTTAGGTGATCAAGAATTTTTCAGGAACGCCGAAATCGCAGCCACAGCCCGATTCAGCAGACCGGGAGATCCGCTTCTCGAGATGGCCTTTTTGTACAGGACACTGGGCCCAGGACCGAGAATGCAGGTATGCAAATTCTTAAATTACCTCTGCCACCGTGCCCCGCCGTGGGCATACTAGCAAAGATATATTGGGAAAAATTATTTATTTTTTAAACTCTTTTCTAGACCTGATGGACAGCAAGGGCGAAATCTTCCGTCTCTACCAAACCCGTGACCCGCTCGGCAACGTCATCGGCCATTTGTGAGGGATTTTACGAAGAAAAGCCCCGCCCCTCGTGTTGTGTCACCGTCCCTTTAGACCCCCCGATTTTTGCCTCCACATCTTTGCATTTGAATTCTCATTCACAATATCCACGCTACACCCACACAGTCTCTTTTCTAGTCACTTGAATTAAGAAGCACAAACAGAGAAAAGTAGCACCTGCACAATAGGGAAATTGGGAGTAGCTTAAGCTTAAGTATTTGTGGCTGAGCTTAGGCTTAGCTTACGCTTAGCAGGCTTAGCTTAGGCTTAGCTTATGCTTAGCTTAGGTTCGGCTTAGTCTTGGCTTAGGCTTCGTTCCGGCTTAGCTTCAGCTTCGCTTAGGCTTAACTTAGGCTTAGCTTAGGCTTGGCTTCTCTGCGAGCAGCAGCCTCTAAGCCTAAGCCAAGCCCAAGCTAAGCTAAGCCTAAGTCAAGCCGATTTTTAGGCTTTTTGCAACCTTACCCGTACCATATCGTTCGTATCCACACACACGCACACACCCTAATTTGCATATCTGCACCTGTCTCGGAAAAACGCCCGTTCGTTCAGTTGCCCGGCCAAATTTTTCCCCTAACCAACCCCTGAATTCTAATTAGCATCCCAAAAGAACGTCTAATTTTTTGTCAGACTAAAATCTACTAAAAATACACAAAACAATTTTTTGAAACTGGACAAAAATAAATAACTCTGCTAGTCCAAACCTACTTTTGTTTTCCACAGTACTTACCACACCTATGGACCAAGCGCCTTGATTCTTCGAGCCTCATAATTCCCCAAAAATACAAACCACACCGACTGCCGTGTTTTCTTCAGTTTTCTCCCCCAATTTTATCCAGGTTCCCCCTTCATAATCAGTGTGTTTTTCAGCTGACCCCAATCCCCCGAATTATCCCCGGATTTTTTTTACAATTTTTTGGAGTAAACGGTTTCTGAACGGACGTGTGTTTTTCTCGGTGGTGGGCAACAAATGCACAGGATGTGTCGTGTACAGGGGAACGGTGTGTACAGACAGACACAAAGCTAGCTCTTATCTCTTTCTCTCTCTGTCTCTCTCTCTCGCTCTCTTTCTCTTTCTCTCTGGCTCTCTCTCAGTTTCTCTCTCTTTCTCAGTCCCGATCTATCGTATTCCTGGTTATCCATGGCTCAAGCTCTGTCTCTTAGTCGTCGTGCTCGGTTCCCTCCCGAACCTCATTATCACGTGCTTCCACGCTCTCCCTCTCTCTCTCTCTCTCTCTCTCTCTCTCTCTCTATATATCTCTCTCTCACTCTTTCTCTTTCTCACTCTTGCCCTCGCTCTCGCTCTCTCGCACTCTCTCGCTCTATCCTTCTCTTTCTCTCACTCTCAGTCTTGCCCTCGCTCTCTCGCACTCTCTCGCTCTCTCTCTCTCTCTCTCTCTCCCACTCTCTCGGCCCCTCTCTCTGTCCCTTTCGCTCGCTCCAACTCAAAATCATTTTCACAACCATTCCCTTTAGTGATACCTACGAGAATATCCGTCATTACGGTGAAGATATGGTAGTGTCCCCATTGGCAGAAAGTGAAGATTCCCTCGTCTCCGAGACGTCATACCGTAATGACAAGGTAAGGCTTTATATTCTCACCATACGGTTTCCCCTGAAATTAGGCAAAAAGCGATGAGCTGGAGAAAAGAACCGGGCGGCCGATGTCCCGGGAGGAGTTGTTACGGTAGGCACCTAAGCACCAAAACTACGTATTGTTCCTATAGGCATCTAAGTTTTCTGAACCGTCAAGAGGAGCTGGAGGAGGAAAGGAGAAGGAGGAGTCTCTATCGAGAGCCGGTCAGGATTCCGGTAAAGGTAGTGTAATATACCGCAGCCTACCGTAGTCATATCGTATCTGGCGGTATCATAACGTATCCTAACGTAGCTTACTACATCTTACCGTAACGAGTTAATGTCGCATAATACTGTATCTTGCCGTAAACTCAACGTATCCTGCCGTACTATTCTGTCATACCGTAGCCCGATTTGAAATCATCGTATCTTACTGTAGCATACAGTAACTTACCGTAGCCTAACGTAGCTATAGACCATATCACTCCAGCTTACCGTAGTTCTACCGTATCCCAATGCCTGCAAAATCGTTTGTTTTAGAAATCCGAGACGATTTTTGGCGTAAACCGACCATCGATTCTGGACCTGCCGCCACCGCGGGTCGTCGTCTCGAATCTGAGAAGAAGCGAGTTTTTTGGATAACTGTCACCCTCCCTTTAAGGGCCGCTAGCTAGCGGAAATCATTTTGGAGTCCCACATTTTGGATAGATTACAATTTTTGAATTTAGCTGAACGTCTCGGAACCCTCTCCACCACCTCAGCCGCCAGCAGCAGCAGTTCATCTTCTGAGGCACCGCCACCTATTCCTAGATATGGACCGTTTAGGTAGAGAACGAGAGAGAGAGAGAGAGAGAGAGAAAGAAAGAGAGAGAGAAAGAGAGAAAGAGAGAGCGAGAGAGAGAGAGGGAGGGAGAGAGACAGACTAGGAGAGCGAGAGACAAAGGAAGCGAGAGAATGGGAGAGTGAGAGAGTGAGAGAGCGTACAAGAGAGCACGAAATAGAGGGAGAGCCAGAGAGAAAGAGAGCGTGAGAGAAAGAGAGAGAAAGAGAGAGAGAGAGAGAGAGAGAGAGAGAGAGACATATTTTCAGCCCTCAAGCCTCTCCCCAGCCCTCGACTTCCTTCTCCCGCTCTCAAAGCTTACCACCTCGCGGGCTTCACCGCACCAAGCCGCTTCAATTCCACCCAAAAGGTATAATTAATGTTATTATTTTATTTTAAGAGCTACACCCTGGAATTAATGCCAACAAAAACAAATTTTTGAAGTCGTAAACAAAAATGTTTGATAATTTTTTAAAGAAAATTGTTGAGGCACCCTCGCCCCTCCCGTCGTCGGCGTCAAGTCCCATGTCTATGATGACCCCAGGAAAAGGTATGATCATTTTTATGGCTTTGAAAGGGCCGTTAAAGCTAAGAATCCATAGATAAAATAGATATTTTATTTTTAGAGCCGCTCAATCGACGCAGCAACTTTGCTACTTCGAGCTGGACGAGCTCGCACTGCCTGTCCCTAGAAGACCAAGTCTACTTCGGGAAATGGCTACAACTAGCTTTATATCATCTACTACCGCCTCGTCTACCGCTTCTACGACGACTTCAACGAGTACGGCCACCAGCACGGCGTCTGGCAGTACAACGACGGTAATTTTGATAGAAAATCCCGGTTTTTGAAGTTATCGGCATTTTTTGAAATCGCTATTTCGAAGGCCAGATTTTTGAAAGTGTGCATTATCAAGAAGCACTTTTTTGAGCGTGAACTTTTCGGATAACGTGCTACCAGTTCAGTTTAAAAATTATGGCAAAATAATAATGCAAATTTGGAAAAATCACTTGTCGAAATTGGATTTTTCAAAAAATCGGAATTTTGCTTTAACGTAGCGCAAATTCATACCAAGTTGCATTTTTCAGTCCTTCGTAACCTAAAGAATATCATATAAGTAACGTTTTCCAAAATCAGCTTTCGAATTTGCATCTAGCTAACGATGGAGAAACGAAAAACGAAACCCGAGCGGGGAAAAAGTAATGCGGATTTATCGAAAACTGGCTTTCGAGATCTAAAATTTTTTTAGCCGACGCCTACTCTCCGCTTCGGCCTCCCTGGACCAAGCCGTCCAGATGTGCTCGGGATTACGGTCGCTCCGGGTTATCGAAGCTACGGGAACCCGATTTTACCCACCGATCCGGATGAGCCGTTGTTTATGGACGATCCCGTGGCGGATAGGAGCGGAGCGGAATCGTACGCCTCCACCACGTCGACACCAATCCAGAAGATTGTCGCCAGGGAATCCATGGAGCCTGAGCCGCAACAGGCTTATATCGTCAATAGAAGTGAGTCGTACATCGCATGCACATTAATGAAACAGTAAAATCTACCAGGAGAGCTAGCAAAGATTCTTTAGGAACACGGTACCTAAAATTTCGATATTTTAGCGATGAGCCCGAGGATCGAGCGTAGTCAACTCCCGAGCCCTCCACCTCCACCTCTTCCTCCTACGCCACCTCCAGCTCGTCCAGAGGAGCCAGAAGTGACGCTCGAGGTTCGGAGGTCCACCTCATCCTCCCCGCCCCTCCCTTCACCACCCCCAGAGGCGGATGAGCACAAGGATGGGCATGAGGATGATCATCTACCAGGGAAACCAGGCGTGCCCAAACTGCTTGAGAACCTTGATAACTTGGTTGCTGCACAGGACACGCCGATTTATACGATGATCGGGACGAGGAGGAGGGTAAGTTAATAGGTGGTAGACGCAACGCATCCGCGACGCGTACAACATATTCTTTTCAGGTCCACCCTGATGCCATCCACTTCAAGAGGGTCACCCGCTCAACTTCGTTGTCTAGGATTCCGGAAGATAGGGAAATTACGGGCCAGGAAATTAAGGTAAGTGAGAGAGAGAGCGAGAGAGTGAGAGAGAGAGAGAGAGAGGGATAGAGAAAAAGTGCTAATTTTCTCTAGAAAAACCCAACAGCCGTCGGAATCTCCTTGATGCCGTCGATGTCTTGCGATTCCATCCCATTTGCCGATGATCCGGAGATCGAGTACAGGTTGGTGAGGAGCAAGAGCTCATCGAGGAGCATGAGAAGAGTTTTAAAAGCCAGGTCTGTAGATCTGATTTTCGCCCTGAGTAAGGTTTTGTAGGTTGTCTTTTTAGTCTGTAGTTCATCTAAAAAATAGCGAAAAACAGTCATATGCAAATTTTTCAGGGAATTCATCGTGGAGCCCCGTATTGCTCGCTCCCCAAAGCCAAAGTCAAGCCCGGAAACGAGCCCATCCGACTCGCACAAGTTGTTCATCACCGGCCTTGAGGAGTTGTAGTTAGTAGCTTAGAAAAATCTTTCTCTCTCTCTCTCTCTCACATTCTCTTTGTATAAAAATATTTAAGTAGCATGCATCCAGTTGTATAAAAATATGCAGTTAACCTCACTTAATTCAGTTCCAATATTATTTAAAATTCAGTAGATGCAAATTACGCCATATTTGCCCTCAAAATTCGCCCGTCTTTCGCGCTTCGCATTGCCTCGAATCTCTTTGCATTTTTTACACACACAATCCATGTCTTTTCTCCAGTCACAATTTCTCTATATGTTTTTTCTGGTCTTAAATGGCTTTAATAAAGTAATAAATTGCTTATTCACAAAAATTTTTGTATGCAAATCAGCGCATTTAATAGAATTTAATGCTGCTGCATTTTTTTATCCTTTTATGTAAGCAAATTAGGTGTAAATCTATAATGCTAGGGTTTTGGTTAAATTAGGTATTTTCTATCCTTTTTGGTATGCAAATTAGGCGTAAATCTATCTCGATTCCGTTAAAATCAACATTTTCTAGCCTTGCTTGTATGTTAATTAGGCGTAAATCTACAACCGTTGAGTTACATCCTGTATTTCTATCGTTTCTATGCAAATTAAGTTTAAATCTATTACTTTGTCGTGTTAGGGAAAATCTGTATTTTTATATTTTTTGTATGCAAATTAAGTGTGAATCTAGAACTGTCGACGTAGCAAAATTCGGTGTTTTCTTTCTTTTCTCGTATGTAAATCAGGTGTAAATAGCACAAAAATTTAGATTTTTGAGGGTTTATTGAAATCCGGGTAGACCGTACCAGTCTTGAGAAGAAAAAAGAAATTAAACACGCGGGGGGTCGCGCGGGTTAAAAAAGAGCACAAATTAACATAATATATTTCTTTTTTGGTGGGGGGTTGATGACGGGAGTGGAGAATATACAGAGGAGAGCAGGTGGAGATTCCAGGTGGAAGGTGGTGGAACGAGGAAACCTGGAAAAGATGGATAAATCTACATTTTTTCTTTTCTTTCTGCTCTCCCTCCCTCCCTCGCTCTATCTCTCTCTCTCGCTTTCTCTCTCTCTATTCTCCCTCTTTCTCTCTCGCCCTCTCTCGCCCTCTCTTGCCCTCTCTCTCCCGCTCTCGCTCTCTCTTTCCCTCACTGTCACTGTCACTGTCACTCTCTCTCTCTCTCTCTCGCTCTCTCTCTCTCTCTCTCTCTCTCTCTCTAATTAAATCCATTAAAACTCACCAATATCGACAAAAAGCAGCTTTCGGGCATGGGGGTACCCTCGGCCAAATTTGTGTTTAGTCGGATTCGCCGGCCATCAGCTCCCAGAATTCTGAAACAAAATTTTTGTATGGATTACGGTAGTTGTTCTTGTCACTTTGAGGTTTTTAAGAAGAATTTTGAGCAGGGATACTGTAAGCTTATGATTTTTGAGGTTTGCTAATTTTTTGTCCTATTTATACGCTTTTTTAATAAGAAAAATTAAAACTTGGCTACCGTAAACATGTCATTTTTGAGTTTTTGAGAAAATTTGAGGCCTGGATACTGCAATTTTGTCACTGAAGATTTGAACAAAAAATTGAGAGTTTGGCCACTGTAACCTTGTCATTTTTGTAGTTTTTATGACAAAAATATAGCTAGATACCGTAATCATTTCCAATTTTGGTAAAATCTGAGAATCCAGGTTTTCATACCATAATTCTGTCATTTTTAGACACTATTTTCCCAAAATGTCATACTTTAAGATAGTTGCCAGACTTTACTAATGAGCGCTGCTGCAATCTTGACATTTTTAAAGATTTTTACGTTGTGAAACTAATTTTTTGTGTTTTTTTTTGTAAAATCGACGGGAAAATTTGTCTTTCCAGTCCCTTTAAAAGCTAGCTAATCGATATTTACGTATTTTATAAGCTTTAAAACCTAATACACAACTCACCCTCAAACTCGATCTTTCCCGAGCCGTCCTCGTCGATCTCGTCGACGGCCGCCTCGAGCTGTTCGTCGGAGAGGTCGTCGGCGATCTCCTTGAGGAGAGCCTTCAGGGTGGGTCGGGAGATGTAACCGTTGCCCTGAAAAAATAAATAAAAATAGCAAAAAATTAAATTGCATCTTAAATTGAAAATTTGACCCGAGACCTGAAATGCCATTGTGGCCGAATGGTTAGCACCCTAGGATATCACTCCAAGGGTCGTGGGTTCGAATCCTCGGCAAGGAAAGTTTTTTGCTTTTTGGCCGGAATCTTCAAAAATAACGCCTTAATAGGGGGGTCATCTTAAAAATATTTTCTAGCTTTCTAAAGGCCCAAAAAACCAAAAAAACCGACTTCTTTGTCGAAAAGCCGGAAGGCCTCCCGCAACTCCTTCTCTAACGTCTCCTTGTCGACGGTGTTCGCCACAGTGTACACCTGAAATATCGATATTTAATTTTTTGTAAAATTGAAGGTCTTTAGCTCATATTCCATATGCAGAGTCGACTTACAAGGGCGCAGAACTCGTCGAATTCGATCTTGCCCGAGCCGTCGGCGTCGAATTTTCGGATCAGTTTTCGGAGGGTCTGGAATTGGGATAAATATATTTTTTTATTTTTGTTATAATAGTTGTAATTACGGTCTATTTAAGAGTCATGCACTTATTTAAAAAACCCTATAAAGGAAAATCGGTAAAAAATGATAGAAAATACCAAAAATTTCGCGATATTTGAGATCTCCATAAAAAAATTGGTATTAAATTTTAGATAATTAAAAGTAGAAAGTATATAAAATTTCCATGCGAATTTTGTTTATCTAAAGTACTCAGAAAGATCTAAAAATTCCAAAACCCAAAAACTGAATTTTTTAAAGTTTAAAACTTATAGATTCTTGACTTCACAATCCCTTTAAAAATCAGTTGATTCTTTCTATAGTTTGTACTCTAATTTTATCTACTTCTAGAGCTTTTTAATGCGTGGGGAAGCTCCATCCAAGTCGACCGATTCCCCCTCCCCACCTTCAGTTACACATTCCATTTTGAGGCAACTGTTGGGTGGGAGAGAGAGCGAAAGAGCGAGAATGATGCTCAACAGGAAGGCGACAGTTGCTCATGCTCCGCGAAGAAACATGAAGCTCGGTAAATACGTGTCCAGAGGGATCGATTGATGGAAAAGCGAAAAGTTCGGAGAAGTTCCGGATATTTACGTAATTGCGGACTACTGTAGTTTGTCATATTTTGGAGAGTTACGGTAATTTACATATTACGGTACGGTAATTTTAATTTATTGGGTTTTTTCGGAATTTTGAGTCAATTGAGATGTAGCTAGTAATTCGCAGGAATGGGAGAAAGCTAGAGGGAGAGAGAGAGAGAGGGGGGAGAGAGAGCGAAAGAGAGAACGAGAGAGTGAGAGCGAGAGAGCGAGAGAGAGAACGAGAGAGCGAGCAAGAGATAATGAGCAAGAGATAGATAAATAACCAGAATCTATCAAATTCCCCCACCTTCTCATCGAAATCCTGCTCCATCGAGTTCATGATCTGGCCGAGTTGGGTGGCCATGATGTAGCCCTGCTTTCCGCGGTCGAACAAATCGAAGAACTTCTGGTATTCTGAAAAAAAGCGCATTAATGAAAGCTTGATAAGACTAAGTTTAAGCCTAAACCCAAGCCAAAAACTCACCCTCAATCTGGGAGCCATCGATTTCGGCCAAAATCTCTTCGATATCCTCGGCCTGGAATTGGACGGTTAGGGGTTTTTATCGATATTTTAATGGGGTTTTATTGGCTAAATCTCGTTAATATTTAAAGGCATTTAGAAGTCAAAAGTTTCTCCTAGTGTTGTTAAAATAAATCAAAAGTTCAAGCTAAAAAGGGTTTACAAGTCCCTTTAAAATATATAGCTTTGCTTGTTAGAAATTTTAAAAGGAATCATTCGACTTCCCGGCTCCTTTAAAAGCTAGTAGCAAGCGGCCCAACCCCTTTAAAAGGTATAAATTTGTTTACTAGCGTTCTTAGGACGTGTATATCGAATTCCTAGCCCATTAATAGAAAGCTATCGACTTCCTCGACTTTTTAAAAGTTTAAATCGAGCACCGGTGTCCTCTTAAAGGTATAACCTTATCCTTCAGAGCTTAAATTTGGCTTCCTGGTCCCTTTAAACGCAGTATACTGACTTCTCAACCCCTTTAAAAGCTGAATCTTGGCTACACAACCCCTTTAAATCATACTTTCAGCTTAAGATACCTAGGCATAAGCAAAACTAGCCCTGGAACTGTTACCACTGCGATAAAACCCCAAAATTACCCCCAAAATCTTTATAAAATCCAAGACTTACCATTGCGGCGTGTTGTGTAGCGAATGGAGTGAGGAGGGAGGCTGCTGCTCCTCAGACCTCCTGCTCAGTTGGGGGAGGGCCCCCGAAACACAGCCCCAGGCCATTGGCAGGAGAGAGAACAGAGGGGATTGAGAGGGATCAGAGGCAGCCAGACTCAAGGAGACCCAGAAATGAGCTGAGCACCGCCCCCTCCAACCAAATATTACAACAAGACGGCACAGCTTGCCCTGGGGAGGAGGTGAAGCTCCGGCCACGTTGTGAGCCACAGACCCCCAGGAGGGGATGGAGAGGGAGAGAGAGAGAGAGAGAGAGAGAGAGAGAGAGAGACGGGGCAAAATCGGGATCGAGTGGGCTAAAGGCCATGATTTTTAGCCCACAGACCCGATACCGAGAGTTCCGCCGGGGGAAACTGGGGGAGCACGGCTTTTTGGGGGACATGAGGGTGTATGAGCACGAGGGGAAAACGAGCAGAGATCTTTTACGGAAAGTCTCGATAGCCGGGCAGACTAGCAGAGATGCTTTAGGAACGAAGTGAGCCCCCGGCAAGCTAGCAGAGACCATTTGAAAGTCATCAGAAAAAGGCAAGCTAGCGGAGGCCATTTTGGAAGTAATGGAGCGCCCGGCAAGCTAGCAGAGATCATTTGGAAGGTTTGAGAGACAGGGCATGCTAGCAGGGACCGTTTGGGAAGTAATGGAGCATCAGGGGCAATTTGGGGGATTCTGG